CCGCCATCACTGCCATTATTATCAGCACCACCACGACCATCATCACCGCCACCCCCACCGACGTCCTCTGTTGCAGCATCCTCTCAGTCATCTGCATCATCTTCTTCTTCCCCTTCCCCTACTTCTTCCTCTACTTCCTCATCATCGACCTCATCATCAATGCACTCATGGTCAGATCGGCCGTCACAAAGGCCCTGTCGCCCGAGGTATCCATTGTTAGAACGATCGTTACAGATGCCTCTTCGGCGGAGACGTTCCCTATCTCCACAACAGCCTCCAAGTCAGTGGCCTTGTTTGCCGTTGAATGGCATGATCACCTCGCCCCCTGCAGGGGTTAGAGATCTGTTCCGAACGACATGCTCGCAACCGTACGGAACGACATCGTTGCCTTCAGTATACACCAGCGAAGACTAGTGCACATCGAGTCCGATGCCCACAATGTGGCGATGATTTCTTCAGTACTGCAGGCTTACGAGTGCACCAAACACGAGGTGCAGCTACTTGTGCAGCGTTTGCACGATTAGCAGCCGCCCTGAGCACAAGTGAGGCTGATCAGCTTCCAATTCCCACATCTGGTCCACCCAGTTCTCACCCACCTGACTCGCCCCTCTCTCATCCACCTAGCCCCATTTGCTCCCCTGCCCCAAATGACAATGACCCGTCTCCTGATTACCTGATGGAACCCCCAGTTGAAGATCATCTCTCTCTGGAGCACATACCGGAACCAATTGGTCAAGACCACAACGAGTCTCCACCACCTGTGCAACCTGCAGAATCGAACGAGGATCCCCCTGCCGTAAACGGATCTCCCACGCATCCTCCGGAATCAGACAATGTCATAGCACTACAGCGAGGGCGCTGTGCGTACTATGCCATTAATGTATGTCTCCTTGCTTACCATTGTAGTCCTTATACTGTTGCTGATTTCGCAGACGTTGTTCGCGGGATAGAAGAAGAGCACCGCGCCGTCTGCCCAGAGGACGACAGCGCTGCGCCTGGGGTGAACATAGAAGTCCTGGCTATGGCATTTATGGGTAGGCGACTGCAATTCCAGCCTGCTCCGCAAAGCCACGAGCCAGGCACGGATCCGAATATTCGGGCATATATCTTATACCATCCAGGTCACTTCAGTGCTCTTACCTTTGCAGATAATCCACGGACCCTATGGACAATGGCGGTAGGGTGCACACAGTGGGAAATATTAACTCCTATCCACTCAGTCTGGCTCATCAATCAGGAACAGTATGTCCATGAGCATTTGCAAGCACTGCACCCCCCGGAGAGCAATCCGGCTGATTCTACCACAAACAGTGAAAGGACCTCTCCACAGGATGATGGTTGTGCCCTCCCGTTCAGTTGGCATTGTGAGGCGAGAACGAAAAACGAAAAAAAAGAAAACCCATCACCCTTTTCCCTTCTCCTCACCCTCTCCCTCACACACACAAAAAAGAAAAGAAAAGAAAAAAAAAGACGATCGAGCCACACACGAACAAAAGAGAAACGAAAAAAAAAGAAAACTCATCTTCATTTTCCCTCCTAACCCTCTTGCCTTCCCCCTCCCAGCCCCCCTCTCTATCTCTCACACAAAATAAGAAAAACAAAAAGAAAAACGAAAAAGACGATCGAGCCAAAAATACGAAAAAAAAAGACAGCGAAAAAGACGATCGAGCCACGTGGCTAACCCTCCCCACGTGGCGCAGCTTGTGTCTCTTTACCCACTCCGTTCCCTCAAATGTGGGCACGCATCCTCCTTTCACCTGATCCCCTCTCCCCGCAATGGCTGCACTTGTCCTGTGTCGCCCCGATCTTAAACCCCCAGTGACTGCCACACCCACCTTCCTTTTCCCTCGTCCTTACCCCCCCACCTCCTCCTCTCCCTCCCATTGCATTCGGATCCCGAGACCTTTTCCGTCCTGGTCATCAAGAACCCAACCTCATCATCATGTCCCACCTTCATAACCGCTTGTTTCCCTCTCCACTCCTTCCCGATGTTGCCCTGCCTCTACTCATTTTCCCGGTGAGGAGAGAAAAACGAAATCACTATACCTGTCTCTTATACACATCTAGATGTGTATAAGAGACAGATCAAGTCGACCCTGTGTGTCTTGAACCCCTGACCTGTGTGTTAGTAGTTGAAAGTTGTCTGTCGTAGGTTTGAGTAGTTGTCGGGTCTTGAACCTTA